GAAGCCGGAGAAGCTGCTGGAAGGCCAGGTGCCGGCCGGGCTGCGGGAGGGCGCGCGCCGGGCCCAGGTGAGCCGGGCCACGGGGTGCTGCGCCCTGTCCTCCTCCCGGGGACCGCGGGGACCAGATCGGGGGCCGGCTGCGTGCTCCCAGGGGTCGCTCAGTGCAGCCTGGTGGTCCCCGCCTTCCAGCCTGGCTTGGAGTCAGGGGCGCGGGGCGCTGCGCGGGGGTTCGGGTTGGGGGTGCAGGCGGGGGTGCAGGCGGCCTCTGGCTAGCTGGGGATGGCGCGGACTCCCGCCCCCGGCTCGCGGCTGCCCAGCTCAGCGGAAAAGGCCGTGACCCGCGGCGCTGCAGTGCGGCGTGGCCCCCTCTTCCACCGAGCGACCCCCGTCGTCTGCACCACCCCGCATTGCTGAGGAAGCAGCGGACCCCCCCTCTGCGGGAAGGCGAGAGGGGGGACGGCATGGGGTGGGGGGCGCTGAGGAGGTAAAGGCTCTCAAAGGTTCGCGTACAGGCCCGCCTGGAGTTCTCTGGGCGCTGAGGACCCCGGGGCGCCGAAGCCTGGGTGGGGGGTTATGGGGGGCACGGGGAGCGTGCTAGGCACCGTGCAGCTTTGCTTCCTCACAGAGGGCAGTGGCTTCTCCCGAAGGATCTGCTTCTTTGGCCTTAGATCCATCAAGACTTGGAGGAAGGAGAGTGTCCTGGGGAAAGAGGGTCCTTGGGACCCCGCGAGCAGCTGCGCCTCCCAGTTCCTGCACACCCCGGGCGGGCTGGGGGTGTGGGGGTGGGTGGAGGGTGCTGTCGCTCTGCACCCCCAGTCTCAGCCTGCAGCCCCCAGCCTTGCCCAGGTCTCTGGAGGTGACCGCGGCACATACCCCATTAGCCAGGGAAGAGCACTGAGGCCCACCACGATGCTCCTTGCCCCAAGCACGTGGCTAGCCAAGCGTGGGCGCCATCGTTCTGTTTCCAGCACTTTCCCTCCCCAGGATGATAGGCCTGTCTGAACAGTGGCCCTGGGAGCAGTGGGGGCCTGCAAACCTGGCTGGAGCCCAGCAGCAGTGGGGATGGGGTGCGGCCCCAGTCCACCTGGCCTCTGCCCTGCTTTGCCAGGGCCCTTTGTTGCACCAGGTGACACCAGTGACTCACCCCCTCCTTCAAGAACGCCCTCCTCCTTATCAGCTGCTCCTTCTCAGAGATTTCCTGGATCTGATCTCTGCCCCCTCCCGTTTTTTTGGTGGGGGAAAGGGTTTGGGCTACAACCAAAGGTGTTCAAGGCTTACTCCTGGCTCTGCACTAGGGGTTCAGTCCTGATGGTGCTGGGGTGACCCTTTGTGGTGCTGGGGGAGGAACTGGGATCAGGCACATGCAAGGCAAGTGCCCTACCCACTGTACTCTCTCTCCAGCCCCTCTAAGACTCTGAAGAAAATTTTGTTTAAGCGCCACTGGCTGGAGCATCTGAAGCATGCAGGAAGTCTGGGTTCCATTCCTAGCATCCTATGATACCCTGAGCACTGCCAGGAGCACCCTCCATCACTGCTAGGTGTGACTCAAAAATGAACAAAATATTTATTCACATTCTTCACTCTTTACCATTCATCTCTATGATGCAGTTCACAGACTCATTCTTTCAAACTTATTCCTAATATCCTTATTCTGTATATGTCATTCCCTACCGAAATCCTTCAGTACTTGAATTCCTACTGGCGAATACCAATGTTTGCTCCCACCACAAATCCACTGTTTTCAAGACCCGATGTCACATCTCTATTCTTCTCCCAGGCTTCATTTAAAGTCTCTTCAATTTCTTGCCTGGGCTGTTACAGAACTTTCCAGATGATCTTCCTGCCCCCAGAGTTCAGCCACCCTCTAGAGATCCTCTGAGAAGCTCCAAAGTCTGGTGTCTACAGACCTGGTCAGACGGAACGACCCTTTCTAACTCTCCTTCCGTAACACCCTCATGTAGGTAGTGCCAGGGGACACTGTTGCCTGGGGTGTAGTCACTGACTTTCAGTCTTTCCCTAAGATTGGGTGTCTACTCATGACAACCAAGAGAAGGTCCCCATGTGCCACCACCACCAAGCAAGCAAGTATAGCGATAGTATTCCATTGTGTAGATGTACCAAAGCTTCTTTAAATAGTCATCTGTTAAAGCACTCAGGTTGTTTCCAGATTCTGGCTCTTGTGAACAGTGCTGCATTGAACATACAAGTGCAGGTGTCATTTCTACTGTGCTTTTTTGCACCCTCAGGATATATTCCCAGAAATGGTATTGCTGGATATATGGAAGCTCAATTTCTAGATTTTTAAGGAGTGCCCGTATTGTTTTCCAAAAGGCCGGACCAGTCATCATTCCCATCAACAATGAAAGAGAGTCCCTTTCTCACCATATCCATGCCAGCACTGGTTGTTCTTGTTCTTTTTGATGTGTGCCAGTCTCCGTGATGTGAGATATATAATATCTCATTGTTGTTTTGATCTGCATCTCCCTGATGATTAGTGATGTGGAGCATTTTCTCGTCTGCCTTTTGGCTATTTGTATTTCTTTTATGAGAAAGTTTCTGTTCATTTCTTCCCCCCATTTTTTGATAGGGTTGGAGGTTTTTTTTCTTGGACAGTTCTACTAGTGTTTTGTATATCCTGGATTTTAACTTCTTATCTAATAGTTATTGGGTAAATAATTTTTCCCAATTTCATGGGTTCTCTCTGTATTTTGGTCACTGTTTCTTTTTTTAATTTTTAAATTTTATTTTCATAAAGTTGTTCACAATAATTGATTACATTCAATATTTCAATACCAATCCCACCACCATTACATCTTCCCACCACCATTATTTCGAAGTTTCCCACCACCACTCAAGCCTACCCCACAGGCAGATGCAAGATAATTTATTTTGTGTTGCTTATTGTTGGAGGGTTCTGCCTACATTTTCTTCCATGTACTTTATAGATTCAGGTCTGACATTGAGGTCTTTAATCCACTTTAATCTGACTTTTGTGCCTGGTATTAGACAGAGGTCTGAGTTCATTATTTTTGCAGTTAACTGTCCAGTTTTTCCAGCACCACTTGTTGAAGAGGCTTTCCTTGTTCTACTTCACATTTCTTGCTCCTTTATCAAAGATTAAGTGATCATATATTTGAGAGTCTGTGACAGAATATTAAACTCTGTTTCATTGTTCTGCGAGTCTCTTTCTATTCCAACAGCATGCTGTTTTAATTACTACTGCTTTGTAGTACAGTTTGAAGTTGGGGAAGATGATGCCACCTATCTCCTTTTTCCCAAGGATTGCTTTAGCTAGCTATGAGATTTATTGTTCCATATGAATTTTAGGACTGTTTTGTCTATTTCTTTGAAGAATGCCATGGTTATCTTTATAGGGACCACGTTAAATCTGTATAATGCTTTGGGGGAGTATTGCCATTTTGACAATGTTAATCCTCCCAATCCATGAGCAGGGGATGAGTCTTCATTTCCTAGTGTCCTCTTTTATTTCTTGAAGTAGTGTTTTGTAATTTTCTTTGTATAAGTCCTTTACCTCTTTAGTTAAGCGGATTTCGAGGTACTTGATTTTTGACGCACTATTGTGAATGGGGTTGTTTTTTAAATATCTGTTCTCTTTCATTATTTGTATATAGGAAAGCCATGGACTTTGGGGTATTGATTTTGTAGCCTGCCACTTTACTATACAAACCTATCATTTCTAGGAACTTCTTTGAAAAGTCTTTAGAATTTTCTAAGTATAATATCATGTCATATAATGATAGCTTGATCTCTTCCTTTTCTATCTGGATATTCTTGATATCTTTTTCTTGTCTAACTGCTATAGCAAGAATTTCCAGTACTATATTGAAAAGGAGTGGCGAGAGTGGGCACTCGCCACTTGTCTTGGCTTTCATGAGTAGACACTGAAGCCATGGTGATGCCAACTTCTCTTCCACTTGAGAAGTGTCTTGTCTTGTCCCCGATCTTAGAGGGAAGACTTTTTGTTTCTCCCCATTGAGCATAATACTTGCTGTGGGCTTGTGGTAGATGGCTTTGACTAAACTGAGGAAAGCTCCTTCAGTTCCCATTTTGTTGAAAATTTTTATCATGAATGGGTGCTGGATCTTTTCAAATGCTTTCTCTGCATCTATTGATATGATTATATAGTTTTTATTGTTTTATTGATATGTTTTATTAGGCTGATTGACTTGTGAGTGTTAAACCATCCTTGCATCCCTGGGATGAATCCTACTTGGTCTTGGTGTATGGTCGATCCTTTTGATGAGTCATTGAATTCTGTTTGCTAGGATTTTGTTGAGAATCTTTGCATCTGTATTCATCAGGGATATTGGCCTGTAATTCTTTGTGGTATCTCTGTCTGCTTTTGGTATCAGGGTAATGTTTGCTTCATAGAAACTGTTTGGAAATGTTTCTAAATCTTCAATTTCCTGGGAAAGCTTAAAAAGGATTGGGAGTAAGTCCTCTTTAAAGATTTGGGAGAATTCACTAGTGAATCTTTCTGGGCTAGGAAGCAAGTATATTTTAAATTCAGTGTCTGTCTCATCCTTGTATCCCCTCTTTTGATCCATAATAGTACATATTTGTGTAGTTAATGATCTTGTAATCATTTTAAACACTTTAGAGAAATGGGTGCTATGTTGTAAAACAACTGCATATTGGGACACTTTAGTCCACTCTACATCTGATCTGGCACCATCAGTGAATTGAGTTGTGCATCACTTGGCGGGCATTTGAAAGTGAATTTGCAGGTGGTTGCAGACTCCTGGCAAAATTCAAGTGAGTTTCCAGCCACACCTGGCTATGCTCCAGGCTTACTGCTGGCTTTGGGCTCAGGAGTCACACCTGACAGGGCTCAGGGGACCATATGCAGGTGCTGTATATTGAATCAGAAGTCAGCCATATGCAAAAGCAAGTGTTTTATCCCTGTGCCATCTCTCTGCACCATCAAGGATGTTCATAAGGTTGACAGAAACATTAAGTGGCACGGTGGTCACTCTCCTCTGCTTTTCTTAGACACCAGAGCTAGGAGAAAGCCGCGGACACTCAAGTGGAAGAGAAGTTGGCATCACCATGGCTTCAGTGTCTACTCATGAAAGCCAAGAGAAAGGTCCCCATGTGCCACCACCACCAAGCAAGCAGGTATATTTTAAATTCGGGGTCTGCTCACTAAAGGGGAGCATGGGACAGGGTCTTAAACCTCATCCTTGTCACCTGACACTTCTCAGCCTGGCACTTTGTGGGACAGGTTCAGAGGAACTGTCTGGGATTGCCTGGAAAAGAAGAACCTCCACATTTAATTTGCAAAGGAAAATTTGGCCTATGTCTTTCCTTTCTCTGCCCTGTCGAGATTGTAGCTTTACTAACGCTTATAGTGTAGTGACTGAGCAAAGAGTTGAAAATGTTTCCTTTAGCAGAGCGAAAATCCTAATTAACTGGAACAGAATGAGACACTTTATTTGCCTCATTTACGTCTTTGCTTCCAAGGTGTTTCTGTTCAGGAGAATGGTGCCTTTAATGACTGAATTAACCCATCAGTTTGAGGAGCCAGCATGGGGTACAGCTATGAGACTTGCAAAAAATGAATATTACATAAATGAGGAAAAGATAAGATATTGGGATGAACTTCATGGGTCAGACGATCAAGCCAAAAATTGTTTCTGGAGGAAGTGGTGTTTAGGGCACCAGAGCAGTAGAGCAGCACCAGTACAGCAGGGAAGGTGCTTGCTTTTCAAGCATTCAGTCGGACCCAGGTTTGATCCCTGGCATCCCATATGGTCCCCTGTGCCCTGCCAGGAGTGCAGAGCTAGGAGTAAGCCCAGGGTACTGCCAGGTGTGACCCTAAAAAAATAAATAAAAAGGAGGAGGAAGAGGCAGCATTTAGGAGAAGCAAAGTGTTAAATTATATCAAATATCAAGTACCGGGGAGACTTTGGACACTCAAGTGAAATTGAGTGCCATGAAACATTGATGTGTGCACAGAAAGGAACAGTGACACTCCCCTGGGGAGATACAGAAACTGTCATTTGACTGTGGGACTCAAGTGGGCGTGAAATTATTATTTGGGATTTGTACCCCAACACTCAGATCTGCTGAAAAGGCAACAGTGGACAATTTGTTTTCTATTGTTGGTTATGAATAACATATGATGTCATGTGGCTGCAGTAGTGGCCGCATGATTTTGAAATTCCGAAATTTTAACAATTAAATCTGGAGGGATTTCTTGCCAAAATCTGCTGGGTTTTGAGATTTGTTCCTGAGTCTCTGGGATCATGGCCATTAAGCAGCTTGATCTGGAGCCAGAGAGGCCGTTCATGGGTGGCGACTCAGGGTCTCGGGTGGGGAGGAAAGGGCCAGCTCCACCCCCATCCCATGAGGTCCCATGTGTCTTGTCACTGTGGGCCCAAACCTGACTGTCCAATGGCCTCTGGGGGATGGCAGCCACCGAGCCGCCAAGGGGGAGCAGACAGAAGGACAACACCCTTTTCCCCCTGGGGTGGCCCGGCACTGGTAATCTACTGCGGGGTCTGGATGCATTGAAATGTTAATTTTTACCTGTGAAACTATTGGACATAGAAGATTGAATAATTCATTTTTCAGAAAACAGAAAACTTCAGTGTTACTAAATTCTTTATTCCCACTGTCTTGGAATCCAGCCTAACTAGTCCTTACTTAGAGTTTCGGAGGCCTCAAGGAACATTCAGGAACCAGTGGTGAGAGCAAACACTGGTCCAGTCTCTCAGGCAAGTTATTCAGTAAGACGGTCAAATTGGGAATACATATGCCTGATTTTTCACTTCTAGGCATACATCTGAAAAATATTCTCATAGGGGGTCGGATTTGTGCTCAGGAGCACAAAGCTTTTGTCTTGCTTGTGTGAGGCCCTGTTTGGTGGTGAAGAATGGCCACTGGTGGAGGGATGGGTACTCAATCATTGTATGACTGAAATGTAATCACAAAAGTTTGTCAGTCTGTAACTGTAACTCAGTGATTCATTAATTTTTTGAAAAATAAAAATAAAGAGAAAGGGAGACCATGTGATCCAAGACTTGGGGGCAGGGATGCCCGTTCCCCGCTCTTCTAGAGCGCACTGGCTGAAGTGGCCCTTGCATAGGGCAGGCAGTAGGAGGCAAATGCCTGGAGTGACTGGAGCGAACAGCTTAGCTTCCCTGATGGCTCTGTTGCACCCGGCTCACCTCTCCCTGTCCTTACAGAGCCTGCTGTTCTGCCCGAAGTCCAAACTACACATTCACAGGGCAGAGATTTTAAAGATAGTCCGCGAATGCCAAGAGGAGAGTTTCTGGAAGCGAGGTAAGCGGTCCTTGTCATCATTGTTAACCAAGCCCACTTTGCTGCGGGAAGAGCAGATTAGAATGGGGGTGGTGCTTTATTTCTGAACACGGGTGCTACACAATTTTCTATATAACTGGGTGTCTGTGTAGAGTATAAATCTGTGGGGAGACACTTAGAGTGCAGCAGTAATACTGAATTAAGGTACAGTGTACCTCATCCAGCAAAAAGTTGATGCCCACATATTCCTTTGTCTCCCAAAACATATACACAGAGTACTACTTAAATGGTGGTGGTCGGGGGGAGGGGCAGGAGAAGGGGATTGTGGAGGGTGATTTGCATCCAGACACTGTTTATGTGGGCCAGGGGCTACTTCCGGCATTAATGGGCCCACATTGGATAATGCAGTGCGTGGGACCAGTGACATGGAGCTCCTCAGGCTCAGCAGTGTTGAACCCTAGCAGGGTCACATGGGGTGCTGGGGATCAGACTCAGGGCCCTGGACATGCAGGGTATGCACCCTAGCCCTGGGGTTTCTCTACAGCCTTATCTAAAATTTCTTGCAAGTGGGCCATGGAGTGGCCAGGGAGATAGCACAGTGGGCAGGCAGGGTGCTTTCCTTGCATTCAGCTGGCCCTTTTCAAAAATCCCCAGCAACACATATGAAACCTGGTTACAGAGCCAGAAATAGTTCCTGAGAAGCTTGGTGAGTGGCCCTAAACAAAACAAAGAAACAAAAAAGTGGGATGGGGTATGGCTTATAGGGCCAGCTTACATGCCTGGCATGGGGAGGCCTTGGGCTTAATTCCTAGTACTGTGATGGTCCTCTGGGCATGGGGGAGTGGGTTCTGGTCCCCCAGAGCACACTGTTTCGGGACCTTTTCTCCCGATTTTTCCTTGAAGAGCTAATAAAATAGCACCCAGAAATAATGTCCATGTGGTTTCTGTGTCCCAGAGCCAAACCCACATCTCACACCTAGATAACAGCCTGTCAAGTCTCTGGAATGGTGGTGTTACAGCCTTTGTTCTTTCCTTTACTCTGAACTGCCCAAGGTAAGACAAGGATAGAGATTACCACTGTGAGCTAAAGTCTCTTCTAATTAAAAAAAAATCATAGGGGCCAAACAATCCAGGGGTTAAGGAACTTGACTTGCATATGGCTTATACTGGTTCCAGCCCTGGCACCATATACAGTCCCCCAGATAGTACCGGGAGTGACCCCTATACACACTGCCAGGAGTGAGCCTTGAGCATTACCAGGTGTGGCTCAGAATTCTCCCCCAAGAAAAATAAAAGCAAATCATTATTTGCCATGTGAAAATGTTAAAAGAGAGTCATTGGCTTTTGTCCCAGCATGTTGCGATATTGCTAATGGAAGGGACCATTTATTCCTTGAAATACATTGATTTCTCAGTTCTTTCAAATTCAGTAAAATTCTCTTGGAAATAATTGCAGATTAATATTTATTATGCATAATTCTGCTTCTAAATCCATGCCTATTAGCAAATACATTCTAGGTATCTAATTATTATATCAATGATGATTACAGACTGTTTCACGTCTTTTCAACTAACCTATAAGTCAGTGATTTAATGCCCTCAGAAGTCACCCTTTCAGGGTGAACATCAGCTAACAAAGAGTGGAAAAACTGGTTATTATTTGATTTGTCCTGGTTGCTAGGTTAAGCGCAATATTTATCACTGCTCTCTGCTGTAGAGAACATCTTTAGTTCATGCTGACAGAGCTAGAAACTGCCTTTGCCTGTTCTGACAAATCACAGTGCTCACTCATATACAAAGTATAAAGAGAGAAAGCAAGGGGATAAAAAAGAAACAAAGAAAGGGATTAGACATGTCACAGCGGAAACAAGATTGAAGCCCAGTCAATAGCACTATGATCTGTGGTACTGGGGATGTTGGGACAGTGATGGAGGTACCCTGGCACTCTGTGACAGGAACAATGGGCCAGTACTGCAAGTTCAAAAAAAAAAAAAAAGGTGGAGACCTCAGTGCTAGGTGCAGTATCTTTGTACTTTAAATGCCATAAAGTTTAACACTGATCTAACCGTATTACCTAAACTACAATGAAAATTTAAATTCTTTAAGTCGCACAAATCAGGCTGGGGATGTGAAGTAACTTAGCAGATGCGCATGTGTGAGATCCTGGTTTCAACTCTGACATGGCAATGAGTTAAAGCATTGCCAAAATATAAAACATAACTTTTAAAACAAGGTAAATGAATGTTTAAGAATTCATAGCTAGGGGCTGGAGTGATAGCAAAGTGGGTAGGGCATTTGCCTTGCACGTGGCCAACCTGGGTTCGATTCCCAGCATCCCATATGATTCCCTGAGCACCATCAGGAGTAATTCCTGAGTGCAGAGCCAGGAGTAACCCCTATGCATCGCTGGGTGTGATGCAAAAAAAAGATTAAAAAAAAAAGAATTAATAGCTAAATATTACCTGTATCTAACATGGATATAGTAATCTTGTAGTATTCAGAAAATGGGTTAGACAAGTTCAAATTGTTGAACCAAACAGAATGATAGACAAAGCACAGGGTTATTCAAGATAAGTTATGTAGGAATTTATCATACTCTTTGTTTGAGGCCACACTCAGAGGTACTCAAGGCTTCCTCCTAGGTCTACACTCAGGGATCACTCCTGACAGGGCTCAAAGGATCATATGAGACGCTGGGTATCAAACCTGGGTTAGCTGTGTCTAAGGCAAACACTCTGCCTGCTGTACTCTCCAGCCTTTTTTTTTATTGTGTGTGATTTTTTTTTAACTTATTTACAGATTGAACATTTCAAACTGTAGCAGCCCTCACTTATACACAGGTTTCAGTCTGTGTTTTCCATTATCCAAGGCCAACTGCAGTTAGAAAACATGACATAGACAACCATACCCTTAGAGAGAGAGAGAGAGAGAGAGAGAGAGAGAGAGAGAGAGAGAAAGAGAGAGAGAGAGAGAGAGTTGACATTCACAGCCTATATACACACACACTCAGAGGATCCGTAGAGGGGTTCAGAGTGAAGTCCACAGTGAGCATTTAGTAAACTGCCTTAGATTCCCCATGGGGTCCAGGCTTTGTCAGATTAACTTGTGCATTTAGTTCATGGGGGCCTGGGGCAGACCAACACCATTTCCTTCCTACACTTAATCAGCTTTTGCTGAACAGGGGGATAAAAACTCATAGGCAAAGCAGATTTAAAATATTACTCTTCTTAACTTCCAGGTGAGTTGCCAAATTTCAAAACAATCAACATTAAATGGAATTTCTGTTTTCCAGCTCTGCCTCTTTCTCTTGTGAGCATGCTTGTGACCCAAGGATTAGTCCACCAAGGTAAGAAGAGTCTGCCTTTGCTAACAGCATGAGACAGTCTGGTTTTCTGTGACTCTACTTCCTGACAGCTTTTCAGCACAGGGCATTTCTGTCTGGGTGAAGGGTTATGTAGGCCTTCACCTAGATTCAGGCAAAAATCTTTCCCAGTCCCCACAATGAGACAGTATGTGAAGTGAGTTCGCAAAGTGCAACTCAAGTTGCAGATGAAATTACAGTTGCTAATCAGATGATCTGGAAATAAGAAGAATATTTTGAATTTTAGATGGGCCCCTTGTAACCCACAGGGCCCTCGAGGTAAAAGCTGACCCAGGTATCTGCTGCTGTTCATCCATACAGTTCGTGGCATTTAGTTATAGCAGCATGAACAAATGAACACTGATCCAAATAGAATTCAGGGCCCCCCCCGAACAACCAAACCAGGGTGGGTCAAACACCAGGGCCACCCTGGAGGTGCTCAGAGGACCCCTGGGCTCCCCCCAGTGGAACTTTGGAAGCCATGTGTGTGGTATGGGCAGTTGAACCAGGACAGATTCATGTAATAAATAACTCCTTAACTCTGATTCTCTCTTCTCAGTCTGATTTTTAGCTTTTTCGGGAGAGAGAGGTTGTATTTCAGCCCCACCTGGCTGTACTCGGGGTTTACTCCATGCTCCATGCTCTGGGATCACTCCTGATGGTACTTAGGGGATCATATGGGTCAGCCGTATGCAAGGCAAGCACCTCACTCGCTGTGCTATCACTCTGGCCCCAAGAATTTCTGGCTTTTGATGTTCAAAGCTATAAAGGAATAAAGTGGTGCACTTTAAGCTGCTTGATGTGTGGTCACTTGATACAGCAGGTTTTGTGCCTCTCTTTATACCAAAGCTTTGACTCTCCAGACTGATGAGCTGGTGAGGAGATAGATAGGGCTCTGTCTGTGCTTGGACCACTTATTCCCTGCTCAAGGATGTTGCATGGAAGAGGTGAGTAGGACAAGGTTCCATCTGCACTCTGGGCACCTAGCCACTTGTCCAGTCCAGAGAGAGGCTGGTCTGCTGAGGACAGGCACAAAGTCAGATTTGTGCAGCATATCATGGGGCCGAGTACTGACTCTCCTTCCTGGCAGGTTTTCCAGTTTTTCCTCTCCCTTTTCTTGTTCTTGTTCTATTTCTTTTCTTTTCTTTTCTTTTTTTGGTTTTGGGATCACAGCAATAGTGCTCATGACTTACTCCTTACTCTGTACTCAGTGATCACTCCTGGTGGACTTAGGGGACCATATGGGATGCCAGATCAAACCCGGGTTGGCCACATACAAAGCAGGTGCCCTCCTTACTATACTATCTCTCCAGCCCCTCCTGCTTTATTCTTTCTCCTTGTCTCCACCTCACCAGAGAACCCATGGGTATTGCTTAGTACCGAAGCAAGAAGACACCTCACTCTTTTGAGACCCATTTTACTGAACATTTTATTACCAGACTTTAACAAAGAATATTTGTACACAGAAAACTGAAGGAGAGACACTCTATCTCTTTTTGGGGGAGTATCAAAGACACCTGTATGTTGTATATTGAGGAGAAGCCCAGTTTAGCCTGTCTTATGTTCTTAAAATTTATTAAATACCACTTCATCTGGATAACTTGAAGATAGTACTTATGGGGCTATAGATTTATCAGTCTATAACTTTTTCAGGTCATTTTTGACATGTAAAGAATATGGCTGTGGGGGCTGGAGAGATAGCACAGAGGGTAGGGCATTTGCCTTGCACACAGCTGACACGGGTTCGATTCCCAGCATCCCATATGGTCCCCTGAGCACTGCCAGGAGTGATCCCTGAGTGCTTGAGCCAGGAGTAACCCTTGTGCATCGCCATGTGTGACCCAAAAAAGAAAAAAAATATGGCTGTGATATCTAATAGAGATCATGTTTTATAAATATTAAACAACTCAAAATCTACTCTCTCATATTTGTAAGAGTACCTTTTCCCAAGTCTGTGTATTTATTCTCTATATCTATTATGACAAATAACATATATGTAAAGGTGCTCAGAGCTTTTTCCTAGCCCTGTGTTCAGGGAGCACTCGTGGTGATGCTCAGATTCTCAGACCCAGATTGGGTGCCAAGGATCAAACTGGGGTTGGCACGTGTAAGGCAAGCACCTAACCACCTCTCCAGCCCTAAACATTACCAATGCATTATCTTACAATGAGGTGAGAAGTCCCTGGGGTCTTGCTAGACTAAAGTCAAAGTATCTCCAAGGTAGCATTCCTTTCTGCGGGGACCCAGAGCCGGTTCAGCTTCTAGAGACCACTCACACTCCTCACCTCCCAATCCATGAAGCAGCATCTTTGAGACCAGTTTTTCTCCTGCTTCTCTGTTTGGCTCTGACTCTGTTCTCCATCAGTGGTTACTGCAACTACACTGAACTCAGATACCCCAGAATCACCTCCTGAAAGTCTTCTGAATCGCAGCCTTTCTTTCTCTCTCTGCCTTAACCCTCCTAACACATCACACATTCAGTTTCCAGTAACTCAGTGCAGACATCTTTATGAGGCCCTTATTCTGCCCATCACAGATGGTAATGTTCTCACTTACAAAGTGTGATGGATGACATATTGTGTAACTACATTGAGATATTTAAATTGATGAGGAGGTGATGACCAGCTGCTTCGGATTCAGTTGTTCACTCCATCTTGGCCTTGATGTCTTTGAATCAGTCTTGAAATGTCTGTCTCATGTTTTTAATATATATATATATATGGTTATATAATAATATATATATTGAAGTTAGTCCTTGCCACTTGCCAAAAATAGTTGACAGTAACCAAGGATTGAGTGATGGATCTTTTGAGATCATCTCTTTAGTTGTATATATCTTTGTGTATGTCTCATAAAAAAATGGGAAATCATGCCGTTCACTTCCATGTGGAAGGACCTGAAGAAAAGTGAGCCACAGGGAGAAAGCAGCTCCTGAAGCATCTCTCCTAGGTCATATCAAGAAACAGTGAAGGAATAATAAATGGCTATTGATGCGCAGACTCTGAGAGTCTGCCTATAGAACTGAGTTTGCCAGTTAGGGTCGGGGGGGGGGGAGGGGACAGTGGCAGAGGGAGGCCGACACTCTAATAGTGAGTGTGGTATAACAACATGTATGCATGAAACATATTAACAGCATTGTAAATCATGGCATCTCAACAAACAATAACAATAACTTTCTCTAAGGGAAAAAAATAATGAATTTGAATGCTTGAGAATTTTTTTTTATTAAGGAAAGTATAACAAATAAAGGAATGTGCGGTCTTCTTGGGGAAAAAATCTGTAAATTGATATATAACATAAAAGTACACAAGGCTCAACCCTTAACCACACATTAGTGATCTCATAGAAAGGCTTAATGGCTCGTGGGTGAAATACAACAATCTTCACATCCTTTCCTCTAGGGAAACTTTTTTGTAACATTTTCAGTGGTTTTTCATAACAAACAATACAAAATAAATTATTTCAGTTCTGCTTTAGGGCAGGGGTTGGGGTTCCGGATGGAAACATCAGAAATATGGTGGTGGGAAGGTGTAATGGTGGTGGGATTGATATTCAAATATTAAATGTAATCAAATATTGTGAACTACTTTAATAAATAAATAAAATTTAAAAATCTGTGAATTTTAGAAATTGAAGTTTTTTTCTGTTTAATTATGAAATGAACCAATGTATTTCTCTATGATTCCCTAGGTTACTTAGCAGCTAATCCAAGATTTGGATCATTGCCTAAAGTTGCACGTAAGTCACAGCAGTGGCAAAAAAAAAAGAAAAAAAAAAAGAAAAACATTTTCTTGGCTTGCTCATGGCTTACTCTTGGCTCTGTGCTCACTCAAGGATCCCTCCTTATGGTGCTTGGGCATTGAACCCAGGTCAGCCAGTGCTAGGGAAATGCCTCACCCTTGCTCATCTCTCCAGCCCTAGGTTTTCTTTTTGAAAAAGATCTTCCTAGCAAATTGGAGATATGACCAATTTAACCAGATTGCCTGCCGGGAGTCTATTAAAAAAGACTTTGTTATTTTTTATTTAATGAATTTAAATGGAATCACTGTGAGATAGACCCTTACAAAGTTGTTCATGATTAGGTTACAGTCATGCAATGTTCCAAAACCCATCCCTCCACCAGGGTACGTTTCCCAGCACCAGTGTCCCCAGGTTCCCTCCCATAATCCCCCACCCTCCACCCCCCCAGATTGCCTCTATGGCAGGTGTTTTTCTTCTCTCTCTCTCTCTCTCTCTCTCTCTCTCTCTCTCTCTCTCTCTCTCTCTCTTTCCCTCTTCCCTAGGGGCATTGTGGTTTGCAATACAGATGCTAAAAGATTATCAGGAATATTCCTTTACCTACTTTTAACACTCAGTTCTCGTCCAATGTGATCATTCCCTGCTATTTTTGTGATACCGTTCCCTTCTCTATCTTATCTACCCTCTGCCCCCCACACAGATATGCATCACTGTCACTGTCACTGTCCTCCCTTTGTTCATCAATTTTCTTGAGTGGGCCCAGTAACATTGTGAGACTTGTTGTTACTGTGTTTGGCATATCGAATACATCATGAGTAGCTTGCCAGGCTTTGCCGTGCGGGTGAGATACTCTCAGTAGCTTGCCAGGCTCTCTGAGAGGGGTGGAGGAATCGAACTCAGGCCATGTTGGCTGCGTGCAAGGCAAACGCCCTACCTGCTGTGGTATCGCTCCAACCTATATATATATATATATATATATATATATATATATATATATATATATCACAAATGAATGCAGTCATACTATATCTGTCCCTCTCCTTCTGACTCATTTCACTCAGCATGATACTCTCCCTGTCCATCCATCTATAGGCGAATTTCATGACTTCATTTTTTTTTCTAAAAGCTGCATAGTATTCCATTGTGTAGAAGTGCCATAGTTTCTTTATGCATTTCAGACTTTATTTTCTTACCACTGGGTTCCTTCATGCTTCTGTTCTAAGACTGCTATGCAGACTTACTTTAGACCCCCCTGAGCAGGGACTGAGAAAGACTGATGGGAAATAAGCAGAGACCAGTGCCAGCACCTCTGCACAGTATCAGCTCTGTAGACTTGTGTTTTCTTCCTTTTGGTCAGCCTTTTCAAAACTATTTTTGAGAGACGACAGAAGGAGGGAATGTCTGAAGTCAGGGACTTTCAGACAATAAACTGATCACATACTTGGGGTCTCATCTCATTTCACTCATTCGACACATAGGGAGGATGCGTCCCAGCTCATGTGTTCCATGTCTCACAGCTTGGATGCTGGGGAGAATCTCTCTTCCTGCTGTCAAGAGGAGCTACAGTCTCACCATGCAGTGAGGTCTCAGGGGGGTTCCTGCCCAGGCTTTTGGAACATCACCTCTACGCTCACCCCAGACCTCACCTGTCCAAACCTCGCACCCATGTTGGCCATCCGGGCCTCCCTCTGAGATGGTTCCTGTGCTGTTTCCATCCCGGTCCTCCTCCCAGCCCTTCTAAACTGAGGCACTGGAAATTCTCTAGGTTGCCATTATGCTCTTTAACAGAAAACATCATCCTCAGAGCTTTGTGTTTATCGATTCTTTGTTGTCTATTGGTGGTTTATTGATTTGTGGTACTTTTAAATTTTAAAGTAAAATACTTTTATTCAAAGAAATGTACTTAGGAAAATGTGAGCGGACAAAGAGGGGGGAGGTAGAAAGGGGGGAGGAAGGAAGGAGGTTGGGGAGAGAGAGAGAGAGACAGAGAGAGACAGAGAGAGAGAGAGAGAGAGATTTGTGTTGAAGAAAGAACACGGGCTTCTCCAGATGGGAAATGGCTCAGAGTACACATCTCAGGTGCAGATGCGGGTCCTTCCCCAGATGCAGAATGAGCCGTTTTAGGACTTTCAGTAGAAAAATGCCTTTGTTAAGTGATGCTAGAAGACCATCAAGGCGAGCTGAATATTTTAATGACCTTTCGCTTTCCCAACCTGCTTTGACAGTTGCTGGTATCCTGGGGTTTGGCCTGGGAAAAGCATCTTACATCCGAGTGTGCCAGAAGAAATTCCATTTGTTTGAAGACCAGCTTCGTGGAGCTGGTTTTGGTCCCCAGCATAACAGGTTTGTAATCCGTTTGAGAGGTTGTATGGAAAATACTTTTAAAAAATTAAATGAAAGATGGCTTGCTTTTCAAGCCTGTGTTGAACACGTGTCTCCCTTGCTTGTCCGAATGTTTCTTTGTTTACCTATTTCCATTCTGCAGAGGCCTGTGTTCGCTCTTGAACACACACACTTTTCCCTCTCTCTCCCCTCACATCTTTTAAAATAAATTTCAATATAAACTTTCTTGCTTAACTCAAATAATAATAATCACTGTCCTCCCATTGTTTGTTGATTTTGCTCGAGCGGGCCCAGTAACGTCTCCATTGTGACAATTGTTACTGTGTTCAGCATATCGAATACACCACGGGGAGCTTGCCAAGCTTTACCGTGTGGGTGAGATACTCTCAGTAGCTTGCCAGGCTCTCCGAGAGGGGTGGAGGAATCGAACTCGTGCCAGCCATGTTGGTCGCTTGCAAGGCAAATGCCCTACCGCTGTGCTATCACTTCAGCCCAATAATAATATAAATGAAAGATTATTATCCACAGAAAATATTAAACGTTTTTAGAAACTCTTATGTTGAAAACTCTAACTCACATTTTGACTCATTTAACAATAATTCTGTATTATTGAACGTAGTTTCCTGTTTTGTTTGCCCAACAGATATTTATTTAGTGAGGATGTGTTCAAGGCATTGTGCAAGTCCCTGAAAACCACTATGAGCAGACGTGGATCTGCCATCACAGGGTCTCAAAGAATTTAAGCAGGGAGCTTTTGAGAGGGGGATCATTCCCCGCATTGCTGAGGGGTTCCGTGGGCCAATCCCAGCAAGACTCAGACTGTCTGTACGGTCGGCTCCAGTGCTCAGATCCAGAGATATGCCCAGTGATGGTGGGCGGGGCGGGGGGGTATGGCGCTGGGGGTTTGACTTGGAGCCTCGTGCACACCAGGGAACACTTCCCACTCTGAACCTTCTCTCCAGCCCCTTATGCAGACCTCTTTTCTGAAGCACTTCTCAGAACCTTTTCTGTTTCTGGTGATTGCATGGAGGAACAGTGGGAATTCCGCTTCTGTTTTCTTTTTTTTTTCTTTTTGGGGTCACACCAGCGATGCACAGGGGTCACTCCTGACTCTGCACTTAGGAATTACCGATGGTGGTAATTCAGGGGAATTGAACCCAGCTCGGTCCCGTGCAAGGCAAACTCCCTACCCTCTGTGCTATCGCTCCAGCCCCATCAGTGGGAATTTCTGACTGTTACCGTGGCCTCTGTCATAGAGAACCTGAGCTGAGCACCAACACTGCCCTTTGCTAAACTATTTCCACTTAAACAGTCCTCTTAAACCTTTGTTCTTCAGCATTCTTATTTACATGAAATGGTGATCAGAATTGTTTTCATGGGCTGTTGAAAAGAATAGAGATGATTGAGTGCAGTAATTGTTGAGTAACTGAGTTATTTCTACTAATGGAATTATAAGACCAGGATTGGGGCACATTTCTGTCAAGACCCCTCCTGCTCTCCATGAATTCTATCTGGAAAACAGCATGATGTGGCAAAAGCAACAGTGGACCCGAAGATCACTAATCACCTTTTTTTTTTTTTTAGATGATATTCTGCACTGTAGCACTGTCCTCCCATTGTTCATCGATTTGCTTGAGCGGGCACCAGTAATGTCTCCATTGTGAGACTTGTTGTTACTGTTTTTGGCATATCAAATACGCCACGGGGAGCTTGTCAGGCTCTGCTGGGTGGGTGGGATACTCTCGGTAGCTTGCTGGGCTCTCTGAGAGGGACGAAGGAATTGAACCCCGGGTTGACCGCGTGCAAGGCAAACGCCCTACCTGCTGTGCTTCAAATCAAGAAACAGCGCCTATTATTTCTGAATAATTTAGACTGGTGGACTTTAGCCTAGCAAGAGTTTCTGAATAATGTAGTTGAGACTAGAAGTTCCAGCATTAAAGTTCAAACCACTGTTTTTGCTTCTATTCTAGGCACTGCCTACTTACCTGTGAAGAATGCAAAATTAAGCGAGCATTAAGTGAGAACAGCAGTTCCCAGCCATCGGCTTCCTAAACTCCCATCTATGGCTTTTGAAGTTTCTGCAACCTCTGAATTTGTATGCAATTAAAATCTCAAGTGTACTTTAAAATGTAGTGTAGTGGAGCATAAACATTGCCATCCTCCCACCTTGCTGAAATACTTTCTATGGAGCACTTTCTTTGGAGTACTGAAATACTTTGGATCGAGCGAAGTACAGAAATTCCCTCGATCCACAGTTTTACCTTCAGTGCTTTCATTTGTCCTCTGTGAACCTCCGTCCAAAGCTATTACATATAATATGCTTTGAAGAAAAAACACATTCACATAGGTCTTATTGCAACGTATTGCTGCAACGGTATCATTTGAGTATTTGTACTTGTTAATTCCAGCCTGTCCAATTTACACATTACACCTTCTCATGAGTATGTCTGGGAAAATGCAGTCTGTGGAGTTCAGTACTCTTTGCTATATCAGACAGCTCCTGGGAGTGTTGGAACAAACTGCCCTAGCTGAGGGCTGGTCCCTATTCATGATTTCCTGCTATTTAAGAACACACTTGGAGCATCAGACACCAGCAGGAAATGCTGTTTTGCACTCAAGTGCTCACACTACAGAAAAGAACCTAGAGCTTCTTGGCTAGCCCTATCCATTCATTCACTGTGCTTTGACCCAGTGCTTGAAGTTCTCTGATGGAGGACAGGGGTGAGTGTTGATGATGGTGAGAAGTCATTCCCAGGAAAAGACAGCGTGTATGAAGAGTAAGGAAGACAGTGTCTGGCTAGGTAGGGGCTGTGCTTTCTAAAATATCAGGGCCCCAAATTTCAGGTTCATGGGAAGTATTTCACTTGAGTCACGAAATCCATTGTCCTCTTGGTAAGCTAGGGGACTTGAGGCCTGGTCAAGGTGGCAGAGATTGGAAAAGTTCATTGATGGTAGCTTACCTGCTGAGCTAATTAGGTCTCAACTCAAGACCTAGGTTCTTGGTGTGGGAGGTGATTCAGTGGGAGAACACATGATTTTCATTTCTAATGCCTTGGATTGTGCCCTAGCAATTTCCTCCTCACACGTGCCACCCTTTCAAAAAAAAAAAAGAGTGCATTCTTTTACGTACTATTAGTGCCTGAAAGAATATATAAAACTTCCCAAGCTCCTTTTCCCAAGAAAACAGTTTATGGGAGGAATCACCGGGAAGATTTAACTCCAAGAATGATAAACTCACGGGGTTTTAGGAAGCTCCCAACCTACATGTATTTGATTCTATTCTTCTGTCAGTTTTTTTTGTGCATGAAAAATAAAGGCCCAACAAGACTCTCCTCTGGCGGCCTTTTGTTGGATGACAGATTATCTGCAACTTATGTAAAACCTTCTTCTGCATCTTTGTATTCTCTCAGGAAAATGGTTTATATATGTCACTATTTATATATAGGTGAAGTGTCTAGATACACATCCGTGTTTTGCTTAATATAATCTTAAAATTGTACCATGGAGGTAGAAAAGGGAAATCCCTTCAAAAATTAATCTTTGGTATGAAATATTTTAAACATTTGGAGGTTTTGATTTTTATAGGAACAATACTTAAAATGAAGAAACTTGGGTTATCTCTTTATATTACATATCCCAATTTTTTTCCAGTGGAAAAAGTTCTTTTTCTATAAGTCAGAAGACAGAATTAGTATCCCAACTTCTTGAATGCAATCTAAGTCTTACTTATAGCAACTAGCAATTGGGGAGTCTTTATTTCACCTGTTGGCAAAAATCCAGAATTTTTTTCCTGCATCCCAGAAAATGATTGCCAGGAATCAGAACATTTTGACATTGCTAGGTACATCAAGTAAATGTTAAAGTCAGTCTTAGCCTACTGGAAACCAAACTATTATTGTTGTTTTAAGAGTGTTTTAACAATTAAACTGTTGTTGAAAAGGAAGTGTTTTTACGCATAAAGATGCATCTTCTGAATTAAATTGGGTTTATGTTATCGTTTGGGATTTCTACGTTTCCTATGTAGATGAATTTTTCATTGAAGGAGCTAATCAAAGTGATCTTTGTAGGAAAGAAAGTTGATAAGAAACTAGAAGGTCATCTATGAGATCGAGACTATTTTTCTCTCTTGTAAGAGACTGTATTAAGAGTGGCATTTGTCTTTTAGCATTTAGTCTTTTAGCCAACATTCACTTGTCCCAAACTGATCATAAGCTAATGAAAGCATGATGAATAACAATGACATGATTACATATCTTGATTACATATGCTTTTAGCATTCTCCTTTAAGCAGATATTCTCTTCCCTTGCTGCCAAAATAAGTGATTTATCTATATCCTGTTACCATTATTTTAAATAAACTTTATCTTGAATGACTAATGAAAATGTTACTTAAGTACTTTGGGGGAGGGGGTATTCAAATAATGCAACCTATAAATCTACAGAAAACAGTTTTTACTGTGGGATTTCACCCCCAGATCTCACATGGAGAATTTTATAAACAGGTAGAGTTGGAGATTTCAGCAGTTAAACTACAAACTGCAAAAGAGTCAGCAGCAGTGGCCCTGGATGAACCTGGACCAGGAGTGGATCAAGCATTTTTTAACTTACACACACACACACACACACACACACACACACACACACACACACACACACACACAAACTGCATGAACTCAAAGCTGTCAAATCTAGTAGGGCCAAAGAGAGAATACAATGGGTAGGGCACTTGCCTTGCATGGTCAACCCTGGTTTGATCCCCTGCACCATGTATGGCACCCCCATAAGTCCTGCCAGGAGTGATCCCTGAGCGTGGAGTCAGGAACAAGCCCAGAGCCAAGAGTAAGCCCCACAAGGTGTGTTCCAAAGAGTCTAAAAAAAAAAAAAAGGCAAACCCCCAAAGCCCAAAAGAACCCTAGAAAACCTTACATTTTCTGGAGGGAAAGGGAAGTTTGGGATTTTGAGGCCACAACCTGCAGTGCTCAGGGGCCACATGCAGCGCCTGGGATTGGTAACTGGGGTTGGCCATGTGCAAGGCTAGAGTCTTAACCCTTTCACTATTTTTCAGGCTTCAAAGCTTACACTTTCTCAGAACAAACATATGCAGGTTTTTCTCTGATATAATTGGGGTTTAAATGTTGATTCGTCTGTTGATCCCCTGCTTGAGCTCATGATCTGGACCAGGTTCTGTCCTGGTTCCTGGGACTGTCACAGTGAACAAAAACCACATTATGCATCTTGTTGAATTTCTCATTGTCCCCAGTTTGTCGCTTGAAGCCCAACCAAGCTTGCACCTGCTGGGAGAATGTCCTATGCTCCGGGCAGCAGAGACTCCATTGTCCAGGGTACTCCCCAAACACTGCCCAGCAGCTCATCTCTCCAGAAAGTTCTCTCAAAGGGATTTTGGGGCTGCCTCCTTCCCCCTACACTGCCAGTTCTTCCAGGATGGTGTTGTCTTTTGGAACATTGACTCTCCAGACCCAAGCAAGAATTCTTGGACAGATATAGAGGTTTGTCAATCTCACAATATCACTTCCCTGTGGCTCAAAAAATAGAATTCTGGGGCCAGAGAGATAGTACAGCAGGTAGAGCATTTGCCTTGCTCGAAGCTGACCCAGGTTCAATCCCCAGCATCCCATATGATCCCCCGAGCACTGCCAGGAGTAATTCCTAAATGTGTAGTGCCGGTAGTGACCCCTGATCATTGCTGGGTGTGGTCCCAAAACAACAACAAAATTCTTAGTCTTTCATTGAATAAGGTCAGCATCAGAGGCAGTATAGAGATTAAGACACTTGCCTTGCATGCAGCCAACTTCAGTTCAATTCCTGGAACACATAGGGTCCCCCACCTGCAACTTGGGAGTAACTCCTGAGCACAGGGCCTGGAGTAAACCCATCCACACAGTCGGGTATGGCTTGGGGCCAACCGAACAAGCAACATTTAATAACTTTTACCTACTGGAAAGCAGTTCTTCTCAAACTCCACGAAGGGCCCCAGTTCTTCCCCCTTTGGTATGGGATTTCAATCCTGTCCTCTCCTGCTCTCTTTTGATTTGTGGTGACCCCAAGGCTCCAGTAATGTACTGACCAGGAGGAGGGAGCAGTCACTGGACCTCGTGGAGTGTGGTTCTGCAGCTGGGCCCGTGCTCACACCTCCGCCCCATTCTTTAGGCTGACTGATCCTGGGGGAATTCTTTATCTGCTTGGGATGTTTCCTCCTGTCAAGTGTAAACAATTGTAGACTGACACAAAGGCCAAATCATTCAGATGATTGATTAGTCCTGACCCACAGGCGGAAGCCATCAACTTTGAGACACTTTGCAATAACAGGAACTCAAACTATTTCAAGTTTCTGTACAAATGTATTATAAGTAGAACTTAAATCAGACTACAACTTTATTTTCTAGTCACTTGAATCAGAAACAAACTCTAGGTCTGAAATGAAGAAAATACAAACACAATTCTATGTCCTTAGGAATCCCCAACATTTTGTGTGTCCGGTTTGCAATCAGTGGCTGGAGGATTCTTATGAAGTACCTTGCCATGTCTCTGTGCTGGCTTGTGTGGCTTTCCAGAGTGCTGTGTGCAATCAAACTTAGCAGGATGCCTGGCTCTAATGTGAGTGTTCCAGCGTGTCAAGAGTTGCTTTGCCTTTTATTTCTAGCCTGTGAAGTTAGGTAGCATGATTTCTTCCGAAGTCTGCCGATCTCCAGGCAAGATATAGGGCTAGAGAGAGTACAACAGGCAGGGGTTTGCTTTGCACTCAGCTGACCTGGGCTGCATCCCCGGCATCCTAGAGGGTCCTCTGAACACCACCAGGAGTGATCCTGAGCACAGAGCCCAGAGCTCCCTTGGCATTGACAATTGTGATCCCAATGCAAAACAAAACACCAAGAAAACCAGAAAGGAGGATGTAGATTGGCCACCTAGTTATATTTTTTAGACTGAAATAGGACCTCCTATTTTAGCCCATGATAACAGCTCATTGAATTGAGTAAAGGTGTCAATGAGGTGCTTGGACAAAAGGTCCAGCACTAGTTTTGCCAGTTTGCAAAGCTAAACTTGGATGCTATCTGTCCTTTTCACCCAGAATTGTAGACCCTGAGCTTCTACAAACATAGCTTCTTTAGATAACCAGTTAAAGAGGGGAAAACGGGAAGCAAAGCAAACTGACACTGGTGGAGGGTGTGGTGCTGGA